ACATGCCTTTATCTAGACCTCTATAAATGCCCTTTGCCTCCTAGCTCTTTCCTGCATTTCCCTTGACTTTCCTCCTGTCCCACTGTCATGCTTGGTCCCCACCATGGTTTCAGCAATTCCTCTTTGTTACATTAGCTTTGATCATGCCCTACCAGGCCTCCCACACACACCTCACCACTGATTTGGATCACTTGTTCCCTTGTCCCTGGGTTTGTTAGCACCACTTCCTTTCCCCCCACCTCCCCCTCTCCCATGTCCCCCGGAACTGTCAGTCCCGTTGTTTTCTTCTCCAGATTGTTCATCCAGCCTATCTTATTTAGACAGACCTGGGACAGTGGTTTTTAAAAAACATTTCGAGTGAGGCATTTTAAAAGATGACCAAATTGGAAAGAAAACAAGTGACTTCTTATAGTGCTAAAAAGAGTTTAGAGGGATAAAACTCTGTTCTTTTTTTCTGTCACCATTATAGATATCGAGACAAATTGTCTAGAAGAAAAAAGTAAGAGAGACAATTTTACACAGTTGGTATTAGCATGTTTGGTAAGTAAAAATGTTTTCCTTAAGCTTTGCATTGAACAGTGTCACCTCACTTAATGGTATTAATGGAGGAGGATGTTGGCATTCATTTGACTATTTGTGCTAGGGTGAGGCTTGGGTTTCTAGCTGGCCTATTTTGCCAACTTACATATACTTATTATTTCCATGAATTAGAAACCTTATGATATTCCTTAAACGATTTCTTTATACCGTATAAACTCGGGTATAAGCTGACCCAAATATCAGCCGACACCTAATTTTACCCCAAAAACTGCATTAAAAATGTGCTGAAAAACTCGGCTTATACTCATGTATATACAGTATATGACTTGGTGATAATCTTTTGGTTAGTATTTTAGTAAGCAGTTAACTAAGTAGAGGGTAAGTAAGTAACCTATAAAGTTAACAGGAATGATTTGGACAGCTTTTAAACTCAGATTTTTTCAGAATCTCTTTATTAGACAAAGGGAAAAATAATAGAAGTAGGTTAAAAATAATAAATTCTAGAACTTGTCGCAACCATTGTTTAGAGAGCCATTATTGCTTAGAGATGTCCTGGAAGAATGCCCTTCTCTTTGCTGTGCTGGAGTTTGAATTACAGTAGAAACTAAAGAAGGCTGAAGTGCTATAGTATCTATCCTATGTAAACATTCAGTCAAGACAGTTTGTTTTAATCAGATTTTCATATGTAGTTCTTTTCATTTATGGGTTACATCTGTCTACGTTTATGTGGGTTACATGCATATAGTTAATTTTAGTGAGATTTCTATAAAAGAACCCTATGCTTTACATTTCTGTATTTGGAGAGTCAGTCACTTTTGTGAAAATGAAGTTCAGGCCTTGCTATAAATTTGAAGGTTGTTGATATATGATCCTTCAAACAGTTCATTGAAAAATAGAACTAAAAAAAAAATGGAATTTTTCCATGAATTTTTTGAAGCCTCCATGTACATAGAATGATTTTTGTGTTATTTGGGAACATTGTTTTAAGATTGTGGATGCACAGTTGGAATTCTGAGGAATAATTGGCTTCTAATTTTTTAAATATAGTATTTAGTTTCAGACACAGTTCTAAAGGAACGCCTGGATCCAGAGACATTGGAATCTTTGGGGCTTATCAAACAATCACAACAATTCAATCAAAAGTCAGTAAAAATCAAGACAAAACTTTTGTAAGTATATGTATATTGCAGATCTGTTAGTTGAATATTTTTCTAGTTCTCATTTTGAATACTAGCAGTTTCTAAAGGCGAGCTGAAAGAGCTTTTACTTTTGTTGCTATTAATATATCTTGTAGCCTAAGATTATTGAGTCACCTGTAAACTTTACCTTTGTGTAACGGATAGTAATCTTACCCATATTGGAAATTAAAATAATGATTCAATAATTGATAATACAAAATGTTAATATAACGTAACTAAACCTATACTCTTGAATATATTCTTTGTCAATGATAGAAATAGTGGTGTGGTATTATTCCTTGGTATTTTAGCTTCTCTTACTGTGTTAACTAGTTTTCTCATGTAATTAATATTGAGGTGTCTCTATGAACCACAAGGAAGTAAACTTTGAATACCTATTCTTGTGATTGCTGTAAGTTAGATAAGAAAATTCAGGACTAGACTATACTACTATTATGCAAGACTTAATTGAAATTAATTTTATCCGCTTGATGTTTATCTAATTTCAGTTATAAGCAACAAAAATTCAATTTGCTGAGAGAAGAGAATGAAGGTTATGCCAAGCTGATTGCTGAATTGGGGCAAGATTTATCTGGAAATATTACTAGTGATTTAATCTTAGAAAATATAAAATCTTTAATAGGTAAGACATGTGTGCTGTTATTAAGATAAGTTGCTTTATACTGTTGGAGAATATCCGTAAAGACAAAATTAAGTGCATTTAATATGTTTTTTTTAAACTTAAGAAATACGAGAAGTTTCTAGCTTGTATAAGATTTTATCAGCTTTAATAACAATGTAATTTATCATAAATCGTCACTGTTAACTATGTGTTAGTTTTTGCTCTCTCTAGTGTTTTATTCTCTAGTTTTTTTAGTATGTCTCAGTCACTATAGAGGGCAGAAAATAAGCAAATATGAACATTTTAATAAAATCATTGAAATATTGAACTTTGGAGATACATAGTTCTTTGGAACTGGATTTTAATAATACTTATTAAAGGGATTTTGTTACACATTTTATCTTTCTAGATCTGCAAGTACAGCAGATGTAAAAGGGTGTAGGTGATCAAAAGCAAAATCAGATCTATTCTCATTGAATTGATTCTTACTCATAGGGCTTCAGAGACTGTAAATCTTTATGGCAGCAAACAGCCTCATCTTTCTCCAGTGGAATGAACTGCTGACTTTGTTAGAAGCCCAATGCTTATCCCATACCACCACCGGAGCTCCGTATATGATGGGTAGCAAAGTGTTATTCTACTTACCTTTAAAATAGAATTTCTTTAGCATTATTTTCTTTTTATTTGTATCGGGCATTTGGGATCTATAGAAAGTAGGAATGACTGTAGAAAAAGTAATCCTAATTGTTCAATGATGGGACAAGTTTTGCTGTTTTTGTCAGATGTTATCCCATCCTAAAAGGGTGATGGTGTCACGTGGATTACACATTGGGCTGTTAAACCAGAAGGTCAGTGATTAGAACCCATCAGCCCTTTCATGGGAAAAAGACGTGATAGTCTGCTTCTATTAAGGTTATAGCCATAGAAACTCAAAAGGGCAGCTCTACTGTGTCCTATAGTATCTTTAGGAGTCAGAACTGACTCTATGGGAAGGGATTTTTGGGTTGCTATTCTAGAGAATAATTTCCATTACCTAAGTGTCTTAGGTTTTGAGACCTGTCTTAAAAGTCATATTCCCTGCCTCACTGGTTACATTTTAAGAGTTGCCTAGGCCATTTTCTCAGTTCTTGTTCTCTTTTTGAAGTTTATATATGACTAAGGAAGAGAGCTAGTGATCCAGTCTTTATCCCTTGTCTCCATTTTTTCCCTATAGCATCTATAATAAACTATATTTACTATAGTCATCCTACTTTTAGAATTTTGGTGAGCTCCACATAAGGAAAGTAAGGAGATTTAGTTGAGATGTACTAGTTGATCTATTCTCTGTGCTATTTCTTCCTGTTGCAGTTCAACCTCAGGAGTAGCACACCTGCTTGCTTATATAGCAGTGCCCCATTTTTCAGCCTTTACTCTGCAGTTCCTGTCCATTCTTTTAAGGGTAGGCACTACAGGTTTTCCTACAGCACTTCGGTCTAGTTTCAGAAACATACAGCTTTGCTGTATGAAGGGGCGATAAAACAAAACAAAACAGAAAAAAGTTCAGTTGGGCAGAGCTTTCATAGCATGAATTTTTCCCTCTAGATGAAGCATTGAGCAACTTGCTCAAATTTAGTGCACTCAGTGGCAGTGCCTGGGAAGGTTCTGGTCACAGTGAATTTTTTCTTAAAAGCAGTTTCACTTGAGCCTCCTTTTTTGTGATGACTGATTTAAGAGAACAGCATATGCGGCTCTGAAAATTTATTTTCTGCTCGGGAAATGCTGCGGAAACTGCTGTGATGTTGGACACAGCTTACTAGGACAGCGCTATGGGAGAAACTCAAGTGTACGAGTGGTTTTCTCATTTCAAAAAAGGTGAAATGTTGATTGATGACAAACCTCGTTTTGGACATCTGTCAACTTCCTGAATGGACGCATAGTGCATTTGAATTTTGTACCACCAGGTCAGTCTATAAATTCCTCTTCAGACTCGTGAAACACATGCTTTCTATTTAGAGGTTCTGAAAAGATTGCATAACAGTGTGTGACAAAAAGGGCCTTATTTGTGGCAGATGGGGATCTGGTTTTGCCACCACAACAATGCACCTGCTCACGCGACCATCTTAGTGCGCCAGTTTTTAACAAAAAACAGCATGCCTCTCTTGCCCCACGCGCCTTACTCACCTGACCTCTCTCCCTGAGACTTTGTTTCTGTGAATGAAGAGGGACATGAAAGGACAGTGATTTTACAGTGTAGAAGAGATGAAGAGGGAGGTGTTGTCAGCCATCCACAGATGAGTTTGAAAATGTTTCTGAGAATGGAATTGCAGATATGACAAATATATTAAGTGTAATGGAGAGTACTTTGAACATAAGGTTGTTTTGTAAATTTAAATACATAGCTGGAGGGGTGTTTCTGTTTTTTTTTTTTTTGGGGGGGGTCATAGACTCTGATAGT